TAAACTATTTCTAGGTTTGTGAATGTGAAGCCCTAGGCCGCAGGGGGCCAGGGGCCCCCCCATCCCCACCCCCACCCCCCACCAGCTGGGAGCAAAGTGTCCAGGCGGGTGCAGGCCCCTGGCCCCCCTCTGGCCTGGAGAGGACAGGGCTGCGCAGGCCAGGCCGAGCCCCTGGGCCCACCCTGTCCTGTATCATATGTAAATACTGTGAGGTGACACCACGCCCCCATCCCTCTCTGGACCCCTGGGGCGAGGGCACCTGCTCCCCTCCCTCCCCCCAGTGTTTCTGACAACCCCTGCCCCCTCCTCAGACACCGTTACTGTACGCTTATAGGCCTCTGCGGTGGCTGCAGCAGGCGGGTCCCCTCAGGCCCTCGGGGTCTCCTCACCCCAAAAAACCAGTGTAGGGGCGAAGGAAGAGAAGGGGTTGCCTGAAGCCCCTGCTGAGAGGAATGAACTCTCCAAAGGTCTCCCCCCACCCCCAGGTGGCCCCCTGCCCAGGTTAGGCCCTCTTGGCTTCTGCTCTGAGCCCCCCACGGCCCCCCATGATGGGGCATGGGGACATTTTGGGAAGGGGCAACCCCAGGGGAAAGCAAAGCTTCTCAGGGAACCCCCACATTCTCTCACTGAAGTTTCCCACCAGAGCCCCTTGACGCCCCTCCCCAAAGCCCCCTTAAAGGAAAAGGGGGCTCAGAGTCTGAGTCCTTAGGACCCAGTGGTTCTCCCTTCTCCAGCGCTCCCTCCCTCAGGCCTGGGCCCTGGGCCCTAAACACCCCCCCTCCCCGTGTCCCCCGGGGTCTCCCTTTGGAGAGTTAGCTGTCTGTGTGAGGTGCTTGACCCATTAGCCCCAGAACACAAGCAATAATCTTTGTTACTGAGATGCGGCTGTTTGTGGTTTTGTTTTTCTGTTTTTGTTTTTAAATGTTTCCTAATAAAAGAGAAGCTGCATTTTATTGGTTTTTATTTTTAATTTTCTACACGTTTGAGCTGAGTCCCAAGGGACCCGGCCTCCATTTTTGTTTTGTTTTGCCCCCACTCGCCCTCTGACCCCCCCACTCCCCCGGGCCCACCCGCCGGCTCAGGGCTCTGGAATTCCGTTTTCTGATTTGTTTGGGGAATTTGTTGCATTCTTTTTCTCTTTTAAAAGACGTTACGCGATGTTTCAAAGCCAGCAAGTCACCACCGTCCAGTGTCTCATCTCTCCACATCTGTCACTTCTTTTTCCAGGTTTTATTTTCAGTTTAAACATTCCTAATAAATTATTTGAAAACGGCACCAGGCTCGTTCAAGGCTGTCTGAGGTGTCTGTGTGTCCTTGGGCTGAGGCCCGTGGGGAGGCCCCACCCTCCTCCGGAGTGAGCCTCGCTTCCCACTTGACCTTCAGCGTCGGCCCCCTCCCTCTCATCTGCCTTCAACCCACAGGAAATCCTGGGAGCGTCAAGAGAGGAAACCCAGCTCAGGTGGGGGACCGAGGCTGTTACAGACGAATGATTGCAAGCGTGGGCTTCGACTCCCGACTCTCCTCTCCATTTTCCCACCTGTCCAAGGGAAATGACAGAAGCCAGGTGCAATGGGTCGCATATTAAGTGATTCCAATGATGGAGCCCAGGTGGTGCTGGGGGGTAGGCGTTGGCCTGCTAACCAGAAGGTCAGCTGTTCAGGAACCACCAGCAGCTCCAAGGGAGCGAGAGGATGGGTTTTACCCCCCTCATGAAGAGCGACGGTCTCAGAAACCTTCGGGGCAGCTCTGCCCTGTCCTGTACGGTCGCCGGTCGCCGTGAGTCGGAATAGGCTCGACGGCGGTGAGCTGGGTTTGATTTTTTATGCAGAATAGGAGGGCCCAGGTGGCATTGTTGGGTAGGCATTGCATGGCTAACCGGAAGGTATGCAGGTCAAACTCACCCGCTGATCCGCCGGAGAAAGATGAGGCTAGCTGCCGGAGTAAACGCCTCCAGCCTGGGAAGCTATGCGTCCGGCCGCTCTGACTTGGCTGCGGCTGAGGGCAGTGGGGCTTGGTTTGGCTTTTTGTATCCAGAATATGTAAATCCATGGACGCAGCAGATCACCGGGGGCTGGGGGTGGGGAGGAGGGGGGAATGATGGCTTCGTGGGTACAGGTTTTCCTTTTGGGGTGACAAGTTTGGGAACTAGATAGAGGCGGTGGTCACACTGGCACGAGGGACGCACTAAACGCCACTGAATGTTTCCATTGAAAAGGGTGAAGGGGGGTGGGGAGAATCCAAGGGAGCTTCAAAAAGCTGGTGGGAGATGGGATTGTCCCCAGAGCCTGAGGATTACAGGGGAGTGAGACAGAGAGGGCTTGGCAGCAGGCAAGGCACATGGGCATGCATGGTTAGCTGTCGCTGGGTGCTGACTGCCGCGGGGTCAACTTCCTAACTGGGGAGAGCCCGTGGGTCAGAGGAGAACTGGCCTGGAGGGTTTCCTTGGCCAGCACCTTTAGGAGCCACTGCGTGGATTTGAACCAGCCACTTTTCCGTGTCGGCCAGGCCCTTGACCATTCTGCTACTAGGTACCTTCGGTAAATGACCCATTGCCACGGCGCAAATTCCTGCCCCGGGTGGCCCTACAGAGCAGAGGACGGGGATTCCAGGGTGGTCAATCTCCATGGGAGCAGACAGCCTCATCATACCCGGCCTCCCCCTCACGCACAGGGCAGCTCGTGGGTTTGAACTGCCAACCTTGCAGTTAGCATCCCGGTGCTTATTCCACGGCACCACCAGGCAGGCTCAGAGGCTGGAAAGCAGGTCACTGAGACTCGGCAACAGCTGCCTCCACCCAGTGCAACCAACTGCTCGGAGGGGGTGGGGGTGGGGGCGGAGGGAGAAGGGGTCTGCATGCTTGTCTGGTGGCATGTGGACCAGGCTCCAAGTGGGGGTGGGGCGGGGCAGGGGCACTAACAGGCTCATCCTGGTTTGCCCTTTCCCCAGTTGGGGAACCACTGGCTACACGGCACATCCCTTCTCCAGCCACAGGGGCAGCAGAGAGCAGGGGCCCTGGAGCTGTGAGGAGGAGAAGTTGAGGCTGGTGGCTTTAAAAGCTCCAAACTCACCCACCACCATGGCGATTATGGCTCCACCACCCTATGGGACAGAGTAGGGCCGCCCCTGTGGGTTTCCAAGGCCGTCTGTCTTGATGAAAGTAGGAAGCCTCATCTTTTTCCCATAGAGCAGCTGGTGGTTTTGAACTGCTAACCTTGAGCATAGCACAATTCACTGGGCCCCCAGCGCAGATCTGGTTGCTTTGAGTATGGACACAAGGCCTGGGAACGTGAGGTACTGCCTCCGCTTGCGGCCCCAGTGACAGTCCCTGGCGGTGGCCGAGCCAATGGAAAGCTCTCTGGATCTTTCGTGACCCAGCACTCACTGGCTCTTCGTCACGGCTGCTCTTCCTGAAGGAAGAAGCCCTGGATTAAGAGGTGGGCAGACCCAGGTTCGAATCCGACCTCCCTTCCTAGCTGTGTGGCAGTGGGCCAGACACGTAAGCTCTCCAAACTTTTCTCCAGCTGCAAAGGGAGGGCCCTGACGACGATGACGTCAGAGGAGGGTTGTGAGGTTGAAAGGCCCTGGCACGGGGCCAAGCACATAGACCTGCTCAGCAAACAGTAGCTGTCCGTAGCCTTCCTGGAAGCGGGGTGGGCATGGCCTTGGCGGAGTGTGGGTATGCTGTCACCTGAGGGAGCAGAGAGGCTATCCTTAGCTCTTTCCACTGGAGGAGAGTGTGTTTTTCCCAGGCTGGGAGGGACTGGGCCGCTCACACCTGTGCAGAGCCCTGGGGTGGCAGGAGGTCAGGTGCACAGGGTCGGGGCATGTGTGTGTGTGTGTGCGCGTGCGCGCGTGTGTGTGCAGGCACCTGCCTGGAACCTGCAGGGCCCATTCCTCGCCTCCCTCTGCTGCCCAAGTGTCAGGTTTGGGCTGTTATGTGAGGGCCGGGTTCTTTCCAGAGGGAGAGGGGTTTACAGCAGCAGGCTGGCCCCTCCCCCACCCGGTACCAGGCCTGAGCCCCTGCCCGTGGGAAGGTCCCCAGCCTGCCCCGTGGAAAGAATCCAGCTGGCAGGCAGGCAGGCAATGGGTTCTCAGCACCTCTCCCCCACCCCCACCCCAGCTGACCACTGGCTGGCATGATCTGCACCACCTGGGACTCGTCTTGTGGATCCCCAGGTAACATTGGGGGCAGTCGCTTAACCTCTCAGAGCCTTCTTTGTCTCCTCTGGTCTGAGGAGTTCATAACCGGACTTAGCCTCAAAGGGATGGGCCAGGTGTGTAGCTTAGGAGGACCGAGCAGAATTGCCCCTAGAGCAGGGGTGCTCACACTTTTTCAGCATGGGAGCTACTTATAAAATGATCAAGTCAAAATGATCTACCAACTACAAAAATGCAAAACAGATATATCTATTTATTTATTATATTTATTCATAAATGCATTGAGAATTCTTTATATGTACAATGGCATGACTGCATGAGTCCATCTTGCACAACACAGCACAATGAACTATGCACATGTTTTGTCATGACCTGAGTTTACTCTGGTGACCTGCACTGAATGGAATGAGCCAGGGATGCATAGTCCGGACAGTAGCTGCTGACAGCCAGCCTCAAGCACACTTCCAAATGATCATCAGTCATGGTGGAACGGTACTTGGACTTAATGATCTTTGTGTGGGAAAAGGCTGACTCACATAAATAAGTCGAGCCGAATAATGCAGTCAAGGAGGTAGCACATTTTCTCATGTTTGGGAACTTT